AACGACCCCTCTTTGGGTTTCCAAGGAAGTATCACACACACACACACACACACACACACACATGTATGTATGGAAGGAGGCCAAACCCCTGAGAAAACTCCCTTTCAACTGACTGGCTGCACATTGCATATCTTATCGTACAGGTGATTATATAATCTAGTCATGGAGAATGATTATATCATAACTTGGAAACCACTTAGAATCATGGTCCAGCCATGTTGTCACAGAATCTTAGCCATCACACGTACCTTGTGATAGGCCAAATATGTCAGATAAGGGCTGATGTTAAACCTGGTTTAGAGAAACATATAGAGGCTAGTCTCTCTTATTTTCCTTTATGTCTGCTAGCTGACATTTTTGTCCTGTATATGAACTGTCTACAGTAGGTGAACCTAATATATGCATACAAACTAGTATAACTGGTGAATAATATCTAGCTTACATTCATCATATTTAATAACTGTGTGAATAGAATTTGCTGGGAACTAGGAGCTCTGGTGGCGTAGTGTCTAAGGCATTTGACTGCTCACCACAAGGCTGGGCATTCAAACCCACCAGCCACTCCTAGGAAGGCAGACTGGGCAATCTACTTCCATAGTGATATTGCCTCGGAAACCCAAGGGGAGGGATGCTATGAGTCAGATTGACGGCAGTGAGTTTAGTTTGGTTTTTGGAGAATTCTAAACTGCGTAATTTTTAACAATTATATGTATATAATTGTTAATAATTATATATATAATTTAACAATTATGTACATATAATTTAAAATCATAAAAATTATATATGATTTTAAGTTTTATGTACATAATTTAAAAAAATTAAAAATAAATGTTAGTTCCAACCATAAAATCATCATGAGAAAGAATATATATTGTAAAAATATCTTTATTGTACCTACTCTGCAGGTCTGGTCATTCTTCAAGGAGCATTCGTTTACATGTATGTGATGTTTTTGGTATTTGGCTAGCTTCTGGGCTGGCAAGGGGATGGGAGTAGTGGGACAAAGATGAGTAATACTCTTAACAAAGTCTACTAGGGAAAGAGACACAAACAATTTGAATACAGGATGATGTGGGAACTTGGAGAAGGGGTTCTGAGCTTTACTTCAGGATTTCAAAGGCCGGGATCCTGATATGTGAGCAAACAGGTGAATGAAGGTGGGAAGAACCTCTTAGGAATAAGCTGTGTCAGTGAAGGCACAGTGATGTGACTTGACAGAGAATGTAGGGAACTCCTGATTTCCAGAGACCATACAGGTAAGTTATGGGCTGTGTGAAGCCAGGTTTGCCTTGGTGAGGAGCTTGGGTTTTAGTCCTTGAGCAATAGGAAGCCATGACATGATCCAAGGAGAGGTCTGGGAACTTTAGGCTGTTTCACACAAAACCCAGCCTGCCACCCAATGGGGAAAATTGTTTCTCTTCTAGATTTAAGGCTCGGAAAAAAAAAAAAAAAAAACCTCACTGCCATCAAGTTGGATCTAACTCATAGAGACTTCTTGGGTTTCTGAGGCAGTATCACTACAGAAGTAGATTGCCCAATCTTCCAAGGAGTGGCTGGTGGGTTTGAACTGCCAGTCTTCTGGTTAGCAGTCAAATGCCTTAGGCACTACACCACCAGAGCTCCCAGATTTAAGGTTAGGGGAGATAAAATTTCATGGTTGAGCAAGTTAGGGGCCATTGAAGAGAATACACAATTTGTTGACGTGCAAAAATAAAAGGAGCCAATACTAAACAATGGTTCAAAACTGGGCTTTTGAGTAGTGCAAACGTAGCCTTGTTTCCCATTGGGCTACTTCAGCAAATGGACTTTTAAGCAAATTACCCAAGCTCTTATCTATAGAACAGTATGCAACCCACAGTTGTAAAGGGATAAAAGTGAGACACTTGGCAACAACAGTGCTTGATGCTGGTAAGAAGTAATTATTTGGTCGTGTAAAGGATTGTTCAAGTAATTTACCAAAAAACCAAACTCACTGTGGTCCAAAGGATCCGACTCATAGTGACCCCTCCTTGGGTTTCAGAAGCGGTATCACTACAGAAGTAGATTGCCCAACCTTCCTTCCCCACCAGCCTTCTGGTTAGTCAAATGCCTTAGGCACTAGGCCACCAGAGCTCCCTGTTCAAGTAATTTAACTGAAACAAAGCCAATTAAGCCCACTCTGAAGGAAAGGAAGCCTGGACTGGGGTACCTATCACTCATTTAACCCACTGGTACTGCTGGAACCTGTGCCCCTGACAGTGATGATCTCCAGTTACGCAAAAGGACTGCCCGGGATCTGCCAAAATTGGGGCAGAAGACCGCTGGGGGAAGTTGGCAGGCTCGCTTAGCCCTGGCCTCAGAAATTGTGGCGAAACTTTTTGACGCCTTCTATTTAAAGTCGCCGGGCTTACTCGTCCCCGGGCCGGGAATCCGAGCCGCCCGGGCAGGGCAGGGCAGGGGCCAGAGGCTCAGTCAGAGGGAGAACACCAGGCGGGCGCGGGCGGCTCCGGCTCGGGCTCCGGCTCCGGCCCAGGACAGGCGCGATGGCGAGCAGCGACAGCAACCACGCCACGGTGAGCTTCGGCTCCGAGGAGGACGAGGAGGTGACCCGGGAACTGGAGACGGAGGAGGAGTCAGAGGGCGAGGAGGACGAGACGGCCGCGGAGACGGAGGAGGAGCCCGACGCCAGGTAGCTTGTGCCTCTCCTGGGCACTGCAGCCAGAATGCTCCCGCCTGAAGGCCTAAACATGCCTGCAGTGGAGGGGGAAGGTGCTTCGGGAGGGAAACTATCTGCAACCTTCTTTTTATTTCCTCCCTTTTTAAGCTCCACACTTCATTTCCTTCGAGCTATGCACTTCTTCTCTGGGCATGCTGCCTTTTTAAAAAGAGCTTGAAGGTGAAGGTGCTTGCTGTCAACTGGAGTGACAGGCCCGCCTGCAGCAAAGCTCCTCTCCTTTCCCCCCCGCCCCTGCTCCTTGTGACTTGCTGCACTTGTTTATTCCTGGGGATTTACTTAGGGTCCTGCCTAACTGCAGAAATGTGCTGGCTGGAGGAACGCTTACATTTGGCCCAAGGGCAGGAACAATTTTGAAAGCCTGAGCTTGAGGAGATGGCGTGGGGGTGGGAGGAGGGAAGTCAAGAATGCCTCTCTTCCCTAGATGGGAAGCGCAATGTACCAAAAATGATCAGCACAGTGGCACTGAGGAAGAGGAAGACACAGAGAGGTACACAAGAGGTACAAACAACAAAGATAAACCCTTTTACATATACAATACTCTGTTGTTAGTGATAAACATTCATCTATGAGTAAATAGATGGGTGGACAGGCCGAATGATCAGTTATGTCTAAGTAAAAGAGAATATACCCATGACCATATAGAAGGCTGGCAGACAATATTTCTACATACATATTTGTACGTGCTGTAAGACTGTCAATATATGTAATAGAGCTAACAAGGGGCAAGGTTATGATAACTTCTTGGCCACAGCCAATCACCCCTGAGCGAGTGAGTAGTTGGACCTGTGGGCTCAGAACCATGATCACAAGGGACATCAAACTCAATTGGCATACCATACTACACAAAAACATTGTTCTACATCCAACTTTGGTGAGTAGTGACTGGGGTCTTAAAATGGGTCTCTCCTAGTCCAGGGCAAAGAAGAATGAAGAAAATCAAAGATGCGTGGAAGCAATTAGAGAACCATGTGAACCTCAGCCTATGTGACCATGAGACCAGAAGAACTACATGGTGCCTGGCTACCACTGTCAACCACTCAGAGGGGGATCAGTACAGGAGATCCTCGATAGAGTGGGATAAAATGTGGAACAAAACTCAAAATCATAAAAAGACAAGGTTTACTTGTTTGATGGAACCTGGGGAGACCCCCAAGACTATGTCCTGTAGTTACCCATTGGATCTGAAATTGAGCTCAGTCCCTGGCTTCCAGCCAAACAACAGACTGGCATATAGGGTGAACATTTGCATCAGGTAGATACACTCCTCAGAGTGATCAATTGTAGGAGAACAAAAGGGCAGTGTTTGCACAGAAAGATAGCTCAGAGGGCAGGAATGCATAGGAAAGAATACAGGGAAGAGGTAACTAAAGGGAAGATGTGAGGAGAGAGTTGTTACATTGTGGGAACTGCTGTCAATGTCATGAAACAAAATGTGTATGAGCTGCTGTATGGAGAATGGATTTGCTCTGTAAGCTTTCACCCAAATCACAATAAAAATTAAAAAAAAAAAAAAGACTGCCCTCTGATGCCTTCAAATGAATGGAGATCTCTGAGGTGCCTAGTGCTGGGCTTGGTTGCTGTAAGGGGAATTAATTTTGGTACCAAACCAACCCACTGTGATGGAGTCAATTCTGATTCATAGTGGCCCTCTAGGTAGAGTAGAACTGATCCATATGTTCCCAAGGCTGTAATCTCTACAGGAGCAGAATGCCTCATCTTTCTCCCACAGAGCTGCTGGTGGGTGCTGTCCACCAATCTTTTGGTGTGCAGCTGAGCATTTTAACCACTACACCACCAGGATTCTTTCAATTTTAGTACAAAGGCCCATAATTTTTTTGGAACAAAGAAGCATGAGTTCAGTTACCCTTGTTCTTAAAACCCTGCTTCTTGTTTTTCATAATCCCAAATTCATTTCAGTGAATGTAAATGCAATTATGTAACACTGTATAAAAAGACAGGTCACCTTCCACTTGGATGTCTCTTCCTTCTCTTCATCCTTCTTCATGGAGGTCATAAAATGAGAATAGTAGGAATTGTCGTTGTTGTTATGTGCCGTTGAGTCGGACCTGACTCATAGCAACCCCTCCTTGGGTTTCTGAGGCAGTATCACTACAGAGTAGATTGCCCAACCTTCCTTCTGAGGAGTGGCTGGTGAGTTTGAACCACCAACCTTCTGGTTAGCAGTCAAGTGCCTTAGGCACTATGCTACCAGAGCTCCCATAGTAGGAATTGTCACTATCTGTTTAGATTTGTTTCCACCTCCATTTGTTCTCTTTGATAATATGTTGCTTTTATTTCCACTGAGTGGTGTATCTGTCCACCAGTGATGCTGCTTCCTAAGACTATTGATCTTGTCACAAGAAAGGCTTTGTAAGTGACAGATGGATGTGCACCATTGCTTCAGAATGCCCATCTTCCCCCAACTTAAAAATCCTACCCAACCGAAGCCAATAAAGCTGAAGTTGTAGTAGCATCCCATAGAGTGACACTGATTAGGGAAATTGGTCAATAAGATAAAAAGCCTTGGATATCGGTCACATATTTACCAGGCAACTATGAAGCACAATCATTGCCCTCAAAGACTTTCTGGAAAAAGTTATGGAGCAATATGGAGAATATGAGACTATGCGTTTAATAAATTAGTGAAAGGAGAGTCTGTGGGTACTGTGGAAGGTCAAAAGAGAGCATGTACAGCCAGATGACTGCCTTGAAGTAGTGGGCATGAGCTGGGCCTTAGAGGGTGAGCAGCAGATGCATAAAGGAAAGTCAGAGGAGAAGACACCAGTGGGAAATGGAACAGGGAGTTTGGGGCCTATGATTTCTGGGCAGTTTTGAGAACAATACCCTTGCCCAACCAAAATTTATCCTAAGAGAATCTAAACACTAACTTTAACTAAAACATGAGCAGCTGTTAGTAATTCAAAGAGCCACTTTGGGGTCACATTGCTCTTTGACAAAGATCAAGAACTTCGGGTAAAGATCTGAATTAGCTATATAGTAAGTTTCAGCCGGAAGGCAGGTTGGGCAATCTACTTCCGTAGTGATACTGCCTTGGAAACCCAAGGACAGGTCACTGTGAGTCGGGTCCAACTCGATGGAACATAACAACAACAATAACAACAAGTTTCAGCCTGCTGTGATGACAGACAGTAAGGTGGACACCAGGCAAGAAGTCAGAATCCATGGAGTAGCAGGAAACATCTAGAAATAAGGTGGGTGGTTATGGAAGTCTTGAAAACCACCACATTTTTAAAATTTTGGATTTGATGACTTGGGTAATAAGGAGTCAGTAAAACTTCTGAACAGCGTTGGAGAACAGATGAATATTGTTGGAAAATTAGTCTGATAAGAGAATATTGGAAAGTTGGTTTTGAGAGGGCTTAGATCAGGTAGGTACTTGCAGAAAGGAAAAAAAGCAGTGTCTAGGGCTTGAATCACAGTGGAGGCAGTGGGAAAGGAGATGGCAGCGGTAATTATAAATATGAAGATATCAGTGGAGAGGAATTCCTAAGAGAATTTCTCCTACTTCAGCATGTTGTAAGAATCAAACCATTTTGTTGTGCATTAGTTTATAAATATGGCCTCAACTTTTTCTTCTGAGACCAGAGGTGAGAGTTTGAGGTAATCTGTAATGGATGGGAGGTTGGAATGATGTTTCACCTTTTTTTCCCCCTATCTTTTTGGCTTTTCCACCAAGATTTTACAATTAAAAAGGACCATTCACTCTGTGCCTGGCACAGTGCTAAGTGTTTACATTTTAAACCTTTCCAACAACCTGAGAGGTGAGTATCCTATTAAAGATGAGGAAACTAAGAGTTACATATTAAAAAAACCAAAACCAAACTCACTGCCATGGAGTCGGATCCTACTCATAGAGACCTCTCCTTGGGTTTCCGAGGCAGTATCTGTACAGAAGTAGATCGTCCAGTCTTCCACAGAGTGGCTGGTGGGTTTGAACCACCAGCCTCCTGGTTAGCAGTCAAATGCCTTAGTCACTATGCCACCAGAGAGCTCAAGACACATAAATATAAAAGCCCAGATGTGAGCTTAGATCTGCGTACTACAAATCATTAAACTTTTACCACCTCTTCCTTTTGAGGAGAGATACTTTGCCTCATCTGACTCATTATTTATTATTGGCTGAAACTTGAGTGGCCTTATTAAGCTTCTACTCTGAATATTGGAGGGAAAGGAAAAACCACATCTCTTTGAATAACAGTGGAAGTTTTTCCCCTTCTTGAGTAAAAAAGTTGACTCTACATTTTCTCATAGGTCAGAATCAATCTTAGAAACTGAATTACAAACTAAATTAAAAAAAAAATTGAGTGGCATTAATAGCAAAAAAATTTAACACAGCCTAAGTATCTAATAATAACAGAATGATTAAATTATTGCATTTATATGATGAGTCATTATTAAAATTTTATCTCTAAAATTTTTTAATAATATGAAAAATGCTTATAGTGAATTTGAAAAAAATAATTAATTTTATTATTTAGAATCACCTCAACCATAAGATAAGATATACACTGGAAAAAGGCCAAAAAGAAATATAGAAAAATGTTAATGGTGCTTATTGCTAAGTGAAATAATGATTAATATTTTTCTTTATTTTAGTTTTCAGTGTTTCTGTAATGAACATGTAGTGCTTTTCTGCATATTAGAAAAAATAAACTCTCTTTTAAAAATTTAAAGGACACAAAGTGTAGTCTGTCTGTAAATCTTTTTTTCACCCTTTCAAGTGTAATATGTAAAATTATCCATAACTACCTTTATCTAGGCGTAGTGCCTAAGGCCATTTGACTGCTAACCAGAAGGCTGGCAGTTCAAGCCCACCAGTCACTCTTTGGAAGTGAGATTGGACAATCTACTTTGGTAGTGATACTGCCTTGGAAACCCAAGGAGAGCTCACTATGAGTCGGGGATTGACTCTATGGCGGTGCTCAACTCAA